GCCATATCCTGAGCCAATCTCATTTTCTCCAACACATTTATCCCCATTAGCCCAGTCACTGAGTCAAAATTCATCTTATCCATGATCTTCCTCCACCTTCCCTCCATCCTGTCCCTCCACCTTCCAAGGATGATGTATTTCTCCAAAGACTAGTTCTTCCTAGCAACATGCCCAAAGATTGTGAGACTTCAAAATCCTGGCCTCCAAGGAGCAAATTGGTTTCCCCTCTCCAAGACAGACCTTATTTGTTCTCTTGGAAGCCCACACTATGTTCAATAATCTTCTTCAGCACCACAAGTCAAAGACATCAATTCTTCTATTATCCTTAGTCACAGTCCAGCTCTCTGATGCATAGCAAGTAATTGTGAAGACCATGGCCTGGACCAGGCACAACTTAGCTCCAGCAACATCGTTGTTGTTCAGTACTCTGGAGAGGTCCCTGACAGCAGATTTTCCCAGTGAAATTCATCTTTTGATTTCCTGACTGCTGTTGCCAAGATTGTTGATTGCGGAACCAAACAAGCAGAAATTGTTAACAATCTCAATCTCTTCTCCATCTATCCTGGTGCTGCCAATTGGCCTAGTAGTGAGAATCTTTTCTTAATGTTGATCTTCAATCCATTTTGAAGGCTACAGTCCTTGACTTTCTGCAGCAAATGCCTCACGTTCTCAGTTTCACCAGGCAAGGTTGTGTCATCTGCATAACACAAATTATTGAGGATTTTCTCCAATCCTGATGCCACATTCTTCCTCATAAAGTTCAGCCTTCCAAATGATCTGTTCCACATATAAATTGAAAAGGTGCAGAGATAGGATGCATCGCTGATGCACACCTTTCCTGATCCTGAACTGTGCAGTGTTTCCCTGCTGTGTTCTGACTACTGCTTCCTGGTCCAATTACAGGTTTTGCATGAGCGCAATTAAGTGTTCTGGGCTTTCCATCCTTCTCAGGGTCAGCCACAATTTGTTGTGATTCACACAGTCAAATGCCTTTGCAAAGTCAGTGAAACACAGATAGACATTCCTCTGGTACGCTCTGCTTTCATCCAAGATCCATCTGACATTGGCTTTGATATCTCTAGTACCATGGTCTCTTCTTGTATTTGACCCTAAAAGACAAAGTAGAAATGTTCCAAGGCTTTCTAAGTCTGTAAATCCTAGCTGGCTGCTTATCTGTCTCATCTTTCTCCAATGGAGGACCTGTTGGGTTCAAACTGTCAAACTTTTGGGTAGCCACCTAATATTGAAGCCTACAGTGCCAACAAGTCTCCTTCTACAGCCCACAGTCAGGACATTTCCTCTCATTCATCTAGGGCCCCAGGACTGGGATATGTTTACCATTTCCTTCCAAGCACTGAATATGCTCACAGTTCTTGTGAAAATGAAATAATAGATGATTTTTCCCCTCACTGTGATTCACAAACTTCTGACGGGGTCTTTGCCTTTAGGGAAAACATAATAACACTACACCCCCTATTTAGTCAGGTACGTTCTGGCTCTCCTTAAAAGAACAATAGAAATAATAATTGCATGGGATAAAAAAAACTTCATTGTACATCAGAGTGTTTCATTTTCTTTTTAAAATGGTACTTTGAGTGAAAGTTTATAGATCATATTGTTCTTCTATTCAGCAGCTTACCCATAATGTCTCATGACCCCAGCTGTAATTCTCAGTAACAGCACTCTTCCTGGGTCTCTTCTTTCTAGTAATCCTTCTCTCCTTCTTTTTCCTGCCTTCTGAGCGTCTTTGATGAGGAAAGGATAAGGGAGGGGAGTGAAATGTTGTCCTTTAGTCTCATATAGGGAGCTCTGGTGGTTTAGTGGTAAGGAGTTGCTCTGTCAATTCAAAGCCATTACCTGCTCCTTGGGAGAAACATGGGCAGTCTCCTCCCTTACAGTTCCCTGCCTCTGAACACCCACTGGAGGGTCAGGTGTAAGTCAGTCCTATCTCTGCAGTACATGCAACAACAGCAGCAGTATAATACCATCTCTTGTGTGAAGGAGTACATTCCTTCCTGGTGTTCACACCAGAGGTTAGCCTAGTCTGTAAGGAGTTGTGCTGCTCACCCAAAGGCTCTGGTTCCCTGATGGTTAGAAGCCACCAGTGGCTTTGAAATAGAAAGAAGGGCAATCTCCTTCTGTGCGATTTACAGCCTAGGAAACCCACTGACTATGAGTCAGTCCCAACTCGACAGCAGTTAATTGAAGGAAGTTGAGATTATTTGACTGGAAGTTGAATCCAGGGATGGATTCAGTTTCAGGTTTAAAGGGTGATTAAGGGCTTTAAGCACTTCCGAATCCCACTAGAATCCATCAAACCAGAAAGGCTTATCTTAATGTATATTAAAACTTTATTAAAGGGTTGTTATAAAACTGTGACTATGTAATACAGTCTCAATCTTGTCTTAAAAAGTCAAAAAGCATGCAAGCATAGATAAGGAGTCTTTATGTGGTGCAAACAGATATTATGCTTAACTGCTAAGCACAAGATTGGAAGTACACATTCACACAGAGATGCCTGGGAAGAAAGGCCTGGTGCTTTACTTCCTGATAGTGGGTCACTGTTGTTGTTGTTGTTATGTGCCGTCGAGTCATTTCCGACTCATAGCGACCCTATGCACAACAGCTCTAAACCCTGCTCTATCCTGCGCCAACCGCACTGCCTCTGACACACCCATCCCGATTACCCCAGTCACCGAATCAATCCATCTCATAGAGGGTCTTCCCCTCCTGCGCTGTCCCTCCACCCTCCCAAGCATGATGTCCCTCTCCAAGGACCTGTCCCTCCTGACAACATGTCCAAAGTATGTCAGACGAAGCCCCAGAATCTTTGCCTCCAAGGAGTAGCTTGGTTTAATCCTCTCCAAGGTGAATCTGTTTGTTTTCCTGGCAGTCCATGGTACATTCAGTACCCTTCTCCAGCACCACAGCTCAAAAGCATCCACTCTCCTTCTGTCCTCCCTAGTCATTGTCCAACTCTCTGATGCATAACAAGCGATTGCAAATACCATGACCTGTATCAGGCGCACCTTAGTCTCCAGAGAGACACTGTTGCTCCTGAGTACCTTTGAGAGGTCCCTAACAGCAGACTTTCCCATCGCGATATGCTTTTTGATTTCCTGACTGCTGGTACCAAGAGTGTTGACTGTGGAGCCGAGCAAACTGAAGCTGTGAACACTCTCAATCTCTTCGTCATCCATCCTGACGCTGCTAATTGGTCCAGTGGCGAGAATCTTTGTCTTCTTGACGTTGAGCCTTAGTCCATACTGAAGGCTGCAGTCCTTGACCCTTCGCAGCAAGTGCATGAGGTCCTCCTCAGTTTCAGCAAGCAAGGTTGTGTCATCTGCATAACGGAGATTGTTGATAGATCTTCCACCAATCCTGATGCCACAATTCTCCTCATAGAGCCCAGCCTCTCGGATAATCTGCTCTGCATACATGTTGAAAAGGTATGGAGACAGGATGCATCCCTGGCGTACACCCTTCCCAATTTTGAACCATGCAGTGTTACCCTGCTCTGTTCTGACTATCCCCAAAGAGTGATTATTCTACACTGACATACAGGAGGTGTTCTGAGTCAGAATCAACTCCAAGGCAACTGGTTACAAGGAAGCCCAGAAAAAAAAGCCTGGAAGGATGAGACCCTCAGTATTAACAGGCTCACCTCTGAGGGGTGGGGTTACAAGAGGTTTTAATACCTCTTCTTCGTGCTCCTCTTGATTTCTCATTTTCTGAAATATTAACATGTTATTAAAAGTGAAAAGAAATATAACCATCACAGATCTCTTTAGTTGTTTGTTCCTTACTACAGGAACTTGGCCACAGGAGAAGAAAAGAAAAAAACCCAATAAATTAGACTTCAGTAGATTGAAAAATGTTTTGCTTCAAAGGATAATGCCAGGAAAGCAAAAACGTAACCTTGGAACAGGAGAAAATATTTGTAAATCACATGTCTGTTAAGAGCCTAGTTTTCAAACTATATAAGGAACACTTACAACTTAACAGCAAAAAGACAAGTAATAATTAGTAAAGAATATTCGCCTTGAGCATTGTGCCCTTTTAAAGAACCATCTTTATGGGATCGAGCTGACAACAATTCAAAAGGTCAGATAGGAAGCTCAGCAGGGATGGAGTTTGTGTTAATGAACAATTTCTCTCAACTCAATGCCATGGAGTCAGAACTGACGCATGGCTGACCTCCTGCAGGCTTTCAAAATCTGTAAATCACATGCGAGGAGATTGCCCTCCCTCAGAAAGACTGATGGATTTGAACCACCTGCCTTTGGGTTGCTAGCACAACTCTTTCCCCACAAGGCCACCAGACCTCCCTTTATGTTAATGAAGGAGGAACACTTCGGGAGAGGAGGGTGAGAATCACCAGCCAGTTGGAACTGATCGTGGCTGACCCTCCATTGGGTTTTCAGAGACAGTAAATCTTACAAGAGGAGGTTGCCCATCTTTCTCCCATGGAGTAGCTGGTGGATTCAAACCCTGTGCCTTCATGTTGGCAGCTCAACTCCACCAGAGTTTCCTATCCACTTACTTCAAATTTCTGTATTCTGTAAATGTGGTATTGTACTGATAGGTTTGTAGAAGAGTTGATATTGCTTGCTGGTATTTGTTGCTTTTGTTTGGGCCAGTTTTCCTTCTCTATCCTTAGGGACATCCCCAGATACATCCACATAAAATCAGGGAAATAGAACATGGTCAGCTCCCTGGCCAAACATTCGCCCTGTAAGATTCTCCTCGTGCCCTTTGCCACTGTCTTTCCTGATTCCCCACAGGACACCTTATGTACTCCTCTCCCAGTCTAGAGTCACATCCCTACTCCAGCACTCACCAGCTGACAGGCAAGTCACTCTACCTCTCTGACCCTCAGCACACTCACTTTAAATGAGGATTGTGTGACAACCCAGCGAGGTGACACAAGGGGAGGTGGCACCCAGGAAACAGGTCAAGTACGGTCATGTCACAACTCTGCTTTTTCCTCTCCATTTCAGTCCGCTGACATTGACAACCACCACGCGCTCATCGAATACAATGATTCCGAGCACAGTTTCATCCTCCAGGACTTCAACTCCCGCAACGGCACCTTTGTCAATGACTGTCACATTCAAAATGTGGCTGTGAAGCTGCTACCTGGAGACATCCTGAGGTTTGGGTCAATGGGACTGACCTACGAGCTGGTCATCGAAAACCCTTCCCAGGTGAGTCCCAGCCGCGGGGTGGGAGGCTCTGTGCTTGCCCCCTCCCCGCAGCCCAGGGCTAGCTGTGGGTGTGGAGCTCCAGCCAACCAGCAGCACTCTGTGGTTGCTGTTCGTGTTGTGTACCCAGGAGGCAGCAACAAGACTCCACCTTGCAAAGTGCCGACCCTCTGCTGTGTGTCTTGGGGAGTTTAGGGTGGAGGAGAGAGTCCTTGTGCCCTCTTCTGGGCATATCTTGGAATTACACTCAAGCTTGCAAAGTGGCCATCACCTAAAAAACCCCCAACAAATTCTAGATGTCTTATGTTGTTGTTGTTATGTGCTGTCAAATCACCTGTGACTCATAGTGACCCTGTGTACAACAGCCCTAAATCATGCTGTATCCTGTGCCAATCTTATTGTCTCCGACACACCTACCCTCATTACCCCAGTCACTGAACCAATCCATCTCATAGATGTGTCTTTTGTATAACAAAGTAAACTGAATCACATAGGGTTTGGGTAGTGCAAATGATTAGCAATTGACTAGTACTTGAAAGGTTGGTGGTTCAACCCCCCGGAGGCTCCTTGGAAGACAAACCTGAAGCACAGTTCTACTTGGACATGTAGAGTCATCCTGAATCAGAGTCCACTTAATGCCCGTTAACAACGATATTTCTTTCTATTAATATTGTCAGGCATTTCTTCTGCCCCACCACTAGGTGGGTTCAAACTGCCAACCTATCAATCTCTCACGGTTTCATTGCCATCATGTTTGGAGCCAGTTCGTCCCGGGCCCTCGTTGGGTTTCTGAGACTTTAAATATTGATAGTAGGAAACGGCTCATCTTTTCCCTTTCAGCAGTTGGTGGGTTTGAACCTGCAGAAAAGTGTGGCCTTTGGGTTAACAGCACAACTCTCTGCACCACTAGAGCTCCCTTAGGTCAGGTAGCCTAGTGCAAACCCAGAACAATGGATTTGTTTTTTTCCTGAAAAAGGTATAGCTGTGTGTGCAACGTTAGAAAACCTGTGGTTTTTTTTTTTAACATTCAGAGAACGCTGTGTCCATTTTAGGCATATCGACACTGCTGGGCTTGACCTGTGGCTTTATGAAAGAATATCTAAAAGGCAAGGAACTCAGTGTCCAATCACAGGGTGACCCTGAGTAACATGTGGTAGTTGTTATTATTATACCTCAGGTCAAATATGTTCTCAGGGAGGCAGCCTGAACTATGGCCCCAATTTTGACACAAAATATAACACAAAAGTTGCCCATAAAAACTTACTCCCGCGCAACAGGAGGTTCTCCAGGGATGCAGTGTGGGAGAATAGGGAGTCGTCAGTGATTTATACCTTGTGTTAAAATCCTCAAGCTGTATTCTCTTGAGCAAGTCATTTGACCTCTCTGACCCTCGGTTTTCACATCTGTAAAATGGGAGGTGGGTTGTAGCAGCAACATAATTAGGTTTAAGTTGACGACTGAGTGAGAGGATTATCATTACAAGCCTCTTAGCATATTGCCTGCTCTGTGGTTGGCACACTTTGGTGTGTTCATTCAAACAAGATGTTTCTTTCACTCTCCATGGCTAGGAAATGTCAGACTGAGAGCTCACTAGGCTAAAATCGTTGCCAGAACAAGGCTGAGTGTAAATAAATATGATTTAGAGACACCAGCCAGAACCCTGTGTCTGGGGCTCGCAGGTACCCTGCATACTTGCAGTGAGAGGAACAATGGTACCTGCAGGCTGTAGACAGTGATGTCTCATTTGATGGTCACATTTGGTTTTGAGAGTCTGGGAGAGTTTTGCAGTGACTGCTGCCTAGGTCTCTTCAGACCAACATGTTTGTGCATGGTGTGTGCAGGGTCAGCTGGCTGCTGTGAGGACGGGTTCCTGGCCAAGGATGGCTTGACTTGGCCAAAGATTCTCAAGATGGGTTTTTAGCAGCCATCCTGGAGGCATGTGGTTTGAATCCACCAGATACTCCGCTGGAAGAGAATCAGTCTCCTCCTGTGCTAGTCGGATCTGATTCAACAGTACACACACACACACACACACACACAGAGAGAGAGAGAGAGATGGGCTGTAAGTAAACACACATACACACACATGTGCATAGGCACATACATACACACCTCCCAGCATTAGAACCACACGGGGAAGAGATCAACAATGACTGAACTCACCCCAGGCTCAAGGACTGGTCCTTAATTTTGCCAATAAAATACAGGACAGTGATTAAATTTTAATTTCAGAAAAACAAAACCCCACAGTTTTTTTTTAGTGTAAGTGTGCCCCAAAGTGCCATAAAGCCACAACCCACTCATAGCTCCAGCAGATTTTCAGAGGTTGTAAATGGCACAGGAAGATATTTTCTATCTTTCTCCCATGGAGCAGCTGGTGGCTTCAAACCGTGTGTCTTTGGGTTGACATGACAACTCCTTACCCACTGGGCCACCAGAGCTCATGTTTTATTGACTATGCAAAGGTATTTGACTGTGTGGATCATAACAAACTATGGCTAACACTGAGGAGAATAGGAATCCCAGAACACTTAATTGTGCTCATACAAAATCTATACTTAGATGAAGAAGCTGTTGTCCAAACAGACTTTATGGTTTAAAATCAAGAAGGCTAAGTGCAAACTGGGTTTAGAAAAGGCCCTGGCCAATTGGACAATTAAAACAGACATTCGGCGGGGGGGGGGGGAACAAACTGGGGAGGAGGGTAGAGAAAACAGTGCAACAATGAATGAATGAGAACCCAAAATCTCTGTAAATGTTCATTAAAACTAATAAAATTTAATAATAATTTAAAAAAAAAGAAAAGGCCCTGGCTCTAGGAATATCATTGCTGATGTCAGATAGATCTTGGATGAAAGCACAGAATATGGGCAGAAGAATGTCTGTCTGTGTTTTATTGATGATGCAAAAGCATTTGAATGTGTGGATCATAACAAACTATGGCTAACATTGAAGAGAATGGATTTTTTTTTTAAAAAAAAGTTGTGCTTATATGAAACCTATACCTAGACCACGAAACCCTTGTTCAAACAAAACAAGGGAACACTGTGTGGTTTAAAATTAAGAAAGGCATGTGTCCATGGCCATGTTTTGAGCAAGCCCTGTACTGTGTTGCTGAATAAGTATTATGCAGAGTGAGTATAACTGTGTAGGTGCATAGTGTGATAAGGCTAGTGATTAGTGCAGAAATTTGGTAGAGGGGACACCTTTCTATTCAGAACCATAAAAACTGTGTGGGAAGATTCTTGCCTTGTTTCACATTTTCTCACAGTTTGTGTCATCTGGAATAAAAATTATGTCTCAGGAAAAAACCCAAAGCATGTATGTTAGGGCTGTATTCTCTCTCCATACCTGTTCAATCTGTATGCTGAACAGATTATTTGAGAAGCTAGGCTTGCCTCCGGAAACCCTGTGAACCTGGAGAAAGGATGAAAGTTATACAAGTATTCAGTTCTTTCTTTCATAGGGTCGCTATGAGTCGCCTACAACTCTATGGCACTTAACAACAACAGCAAAAGACTTTACAAAGAAGAATGTGATATTAAGATTGGAGGAAGACTCATCAACACCTTAGTTATGCAGACAACACAACCTTGCTTGCTGAAAATGAGAAGGACTTGAAGCACTTGTTGCAGAACACCAAAGAATACAGCCTTCAATGTGGACTAAAATAATGTAAAATAGAATGTATATGAATGATTGTTTGAAATGCAATGTAAATGAAACATTGTATAAAAACACAATATATATGAATGAAGCAATGTATGGGAATTACTGTATGAAAACTAATAAAAATATTTTTTCTCCCTTTTTTTATTAATTTTAATGAAAATTTACAGAGACTCTGGATTTCCATTCATTCATTGTTGTACTTTTCTCCCTGCCCACCCCTCCCCCCTCAGTACACTCTTCTCTTTGAAAAGTAAAAGTTTTATAATCCCTCCCCCAAGGTCCACTCCACTATGCATAAAAGTTTGTGGGTTTTTTTTAAAGTAAAGGTGCACCAAAGAAGAGAAGATGCTAGTCTAGATGATAACATATTTTGATAAAAACAAAAGGGGGGAAATATGGGAAGCCAAACTTTATACCAAATATTATATGAAAACCCTTGTTCAGGAATTGAAGAAATTACAGATATATAAGTTAGGATTTCTCTTGTGGCAGATCCTAGAAAATTAGCTGTTTGTTCCCTGCAAGACAGGAGACAGCAAGGGGCCCCCTACAGAGGGCGTGTTACTTCCTGAGCTAGAGTTCACCCTGAGGCATCAAAGTTAATACTTAAGGGTAAACCAAATTCTTGCATTTGTGAACCCCTCCTTCCTGAGTCAAGCAGAAGGTTTTCAATAGAAAGAGCTTGGCTTCATTTGCATTGAATTCTTTTTATGATTTACTTCCTGATAATTTTCAATAAAGACAGAGAGGCTTGTCTTGGGGTCTTTAGTCAAGAACTACTGGCCCCCTGTTTTATGCTCTCTGCTCTATCACAAAAAAAAAAGTAAAGGTCCTCACCACTGGGCCAATAGACAACCTCATAATGGATAAATATAGGATTGAAATTGTCAATGATTTCGCCTTGCTTGTATCGAAACTAAACACTCTCAGCACCAACATTCAGGAGATAAGGAGACATTGTTGTTGTTGTTGTTGTTGTTATGTGCGGTCGAGTCGTTTGCGACTCATAGCAACCCTATGCACAACAGCCCTAAACCCTGCTCTATCCTGCGCCAACTGCACAGACCCCGACACACCCATCCCGATTACCCCAGTCACCGAATCAATCCATCTCATAGAGGGTCTTCCCCTCCTGCGCTGG